TTTAATTTTTCCGTCGGGTGTAGTAATTATATTCCTTAATTTGTTGATGGTGCTCCATCTCGAAGTCGAAGGATTCCGAACAGCTTGTAATACAGACAAACTGTCGGTAACAATAGCGGTATTGAGTTTGTTTTTATGGGCAAGGTTGGCAGCGTGAAGGATAGCTCTGGCTTCTGTTGTGAAAGTTGAAGTACTTTCGTGAAATATGTGGTTGAGAAGAACCCGTCCTGTAGCATCTACCGCCGCACAAGCAGGAGGCAGACCAGGAGATTTTGAGCCGTCTGTGTACAAAAGATTCCAACCAGTACTTTCCAATACTTGGGTTTTTTCAGCTATTAGATTCCTGAAGACGTAATTTGGAGTATCTTCTTTCTTGTGCATAGACAGTGAGATGTCAAAAGGGCAGTCTTTCAAAATCCAGGGAGGTTTAACACCAAAAGAGCGGGAAATTTTTAAGGGAATGTTCAATTCCTTTGCGATGCACAAACAATGGTCAATTGCAGATGGTGACTTTGGAATTTTCTTCGCAATAATAATCTTTCTTACGTCAACACCGAGAATGGATTTGTTTGAATTAAGAAGCTTAGGGACTATTTTAGCTTTTAACTCATACAGTTTATTTTCTAAAGTTGGGAGACTAGTTTCAATTATAATATTATATATGGACGTCGTCCGAAAAGCATAACAACTTGCTCTAACGGCTTGGTGATAGACCGGTTTAAGGATGTTGATATTAGATTTGCAGCTATTGCCATAAATTATCAAAGCATAGTCAATCTTGCTTAACACAAGCATTTTGGTAAGATAAGCGATAGTGTTAATATGCGCATGGCTTCTCCAAGCAACGTACTGTATGAAATTTACCCTTGTTAAAAGGGAGTTTTTTAAACGAAGGCAGTGTGCTTTCTAACGATAATTGTTTGAAAACGTGAGCCCGAGAACATGGAGCGTCTGCACATTTAGTACTGGTAAGCCGTTAATATGCATCAGTAGGTTTCCTGCATCGCACATTTGTTTTCGACAAATGTGCATTTTTTTTGATTTTTGTATAGAGATTATAGCTCCTGACGAGTTTGCCCATGTGGAGATCTCACATGCAATAGATTCGAGGATGTTGATTGCTTTCGTGTTGTCTTTTTCTTTTGTAAAAATGTATACATCGTCCGCGTAGAGACAATGTTCCACTCTTGGTACACGGCAAAGAATTTCGCTAATTTCGTTGAAAGCGATCTGGAAAGCGTGACAGAGAGAGGAGATCCTTGCGGAATGCCATTCTTTAGCGGAAAGGAATCAGAAAGATGATTGTTGATTCTAACTTTGAACCGCCGATGCGACATGAATGATTTGATGTAGTTGAAGAATTTGGGTCCAACATTCCATGATTTCAAGAGTCTTAAGATAACATGAAGACCAACTCTGTCAAATGCTTTTTCGAAATCAATTGAGAGAATTGTTACGTGATTTCGTTCGGAAATTGCTTTGCTTGTGAAATAATCAATATGTAACAGAGCGTCGATGCATTCTCTACCCCGCTTGAAACCAACTTGTTGCTTTGTTATCAGGTTCTTGGATTCAAGAAACCAAGACAATCTAGATGCCATAATCTTCTCTAATACCTTAGAGAGGCAAGGTAAAAGAGAAATTGGGCGATAATCTGATGTGATGGAGACATTTTTTGACTTTGGAATTGGAACAACTGTTACCAGTTTCCACATGTAGGGTATATGGCCAGTCATAAATACCGTATTATATAGGTCCAGTAATTTATTTTTACTAGAGTTAGACATAGCACTGATCATTTGGTATGAGATGCGGTCTAGACCAGGTGTCTTCCCCTTCAAATTGGAGAGACAACTTCCAAGTTCTGAGGTAGATACGCAATTTTCCAGGAACATGGCACATCTATCGATATTATTTGGAGGAGATATTGGAGTCCTTTTATTATCAATGAAAGCACTGGAGAAGTTGCTGTCAGAGGAGTATTCGCACCACACTTTTCCAAAGTAATTAGAAATATCATCTGCATCAGTTAAAGTTCCATTGGGAGTGCGGATCGCAGAGATTTCGTTCAGATTTGTCCCATTAAGTCTGTTGATTTTGTTCCCGACAACTTTCATTGATGTATTTCTGTGAATTCGTCTCGAGAAGAGTTCGAAACTTAGTGCCTTTGATTTTCGTAATTCTATCCTGAATAGAGCATTGGCCTTTTTGTATAATAACAAGTGATTTTGATCAGGACATCTCTTAAAGCGGTGCCATAGATCCATTTTATTTTTCCTCAAAACGGAGAATAAACTGTAGAGTTCTTGCTGAGAAAACGATTGCGAAGGTGGAATATAGAGCGAAAGCACTGTAAATTTTATATCTAACATTATTTGTATCGCTACGGCTTGTATATTTGAGCTTAAATTTATGCGTTTGTGAGGTACACTTGATTTTATAAAAAACTTTATTTAATTGTAATGACATGTAAGCAGAGTGGAGGGAGGGTTAAGTTGACATGTCAGCGTCTCCGTCGAGAAGGTCGCTATAGGAATTTTTCGTGAATGATTTATTCTTACCAGCAGAATAATCTGTGTTTAGGTGATTTGCTACATTTGAAGCGCAACGGGTTGGCGCACGTGAATAATTTGAAATTGAAGGTTGATTGAGGGATGAAAG